TTTTTTACGCCGTATAATTTAAATTTTAAAACTTTGGTTCAGTTTGTGGGAAGGAAAAAAAAAAATTCTCTTTTGCTCAAGCGGCCACCTTGCTGTGGAGCAGCCGGGGAGCCATCCCCTACCACTCCCTAACACCACCCCCCCATCCCCTACCACTCCCTGACACCACACCCCACCATCCCAGCATTTGTAATTCATACATGTAGTCTTTCTTTGTTACAAGGCAGCTGTGTTTGTCAATTGTGTTATGATAATTTAATTACTATATCTTGTATCTGTCAAGCAATCATGACACCCAGTAGCCATACTGGTGTTGCTGAAGGGAGGCCGTATGAGTAACATCTCGACCCCTTTATTTTTCAACCGATTACGTTCATTTTTGGTGTACTATGTACAATGTACGATGTACAATGTATGCAATTTATAAATAAGAATTATTTACATTATAATTTATAAATAAGAAATACAGTGGACCCCCGAGTTTCGGCAGCCTCGACTTTCGTGAAATTTGACCTTCGGCGAGTTTTTTTGGAAAAATTTGGCCTCGAGTTTCGTTTCGGCAACCGTCCGGTACCCGTCCGCCCGTCACCACGCACACCAAGCCAGTCTCCCACGCCATTCACACTCAGTGTGCCATTGTTTACCAACACGTGACCATCACCCCGCGGGTTCATACAATACATTTCATAATAATCCATTGTTTTTTTGTGCTTGCAACTGCTAAATAAGTCATCATGGACCCAAGGAAAGCTAGTGCAAGCCCTTTGGTAAATAAAGTGAGTGATGGGGATGTGGAAGAGTTGGTGGAGGACCACAGGGAAGAGCTAACCACTGACAAACTGCAAGAGTTTCAACTGGAACAGCATCAGACCACAGCCGAGGAACTTGCTTCAGAGAAGGAGGAAGAGGGAGTGGATGAGGTGCCTTCTTCAGTGATTAAGGACATGTGTGGAATGTGGAATGAGTTGCAAAGTTTTGTTGAAAAGTATCACCCTGACCAAGCTGAAACAAGCCATATCTGCAACATGTACAATGGCAGTGTTGTTTCCTACTTCAGGGAAATCTTAAAGAAATGCCAGGAAAAGACCTCTCTGGACAGATATTTTATGCAACAGGGGTCCAGTGACTCAAGTTGTTCCCAGTGGCATTATAAGAAGGGAAGTAACCCCAGATAAGGACTTGCTACCTCAAGTCCTAATGGAAGGAGATTCTCCTTCCAAACACTAGTGTACACCTTCCTCCTATCCCCTCCTCCCGTCTTCCATCCACCCAGAAGTCTTCAGTAAAGATAAGTGTAATGTTATTATTATTTTAAATGCATGTACTTGATTTCTGATTGTTTTCATTATATAAATCTTTATTTAATTTGAAAAAAATATTTTAATATTTTTGGATGTCTGGAACGGATTAATTTTATTTCTAATATTTCTTATGGGGAAAATGGTTTCGAGTTCCGTGAATTTTGACCTTCAGCGGGCTCTCTGGAACGGATTAATCACAAAACTCGGGGGTCCACTGTATTTACAGTTTAATTTATAAATAAGTAAGTTTATTCAAGTATACACAAATACAGTTACATAGATTATCATACATAGCAGCATGTGTAAAGTACCTAGGATAACCCAAAAAAGTCAGACAGTGTGACTTACATATTTCCATTGGGGTCCTTTTATATTTACACTTAATATATTTACTTTTATACTTACACTTTTATATTTACACTTACCTTGGAGGAGATGTTAGTTTAATTAGTTAGTTTGATGGAGGAGATGCTGGCAGAGGTTTAGGGTGGTGGAAGACAGCAGGCCAGCATATGTTCAGCAGATATACACACATCCAACAACATTGGAGAGTTACTTTCGTGTCATTTTTCTATCACTTACTTGCTTAACTTAATTGCTACACTGTTAATTCTACACTTTATTGCTGGCTGGCACTATAGCCTTTATTGATACCTGCTGCTTTAGTATCACACATATCGTAGAATCACTGAATCACTGCAGAAGGCACATTCTCCCCTCTCTCTTCCTCCTCCACTTTGGTATTTTGCTACGAGTTTTTTTCTCGAATTTTATTCTGTTTCTTTCCTTCTTTATCACAGGGCTGGCACTAGAAACTTTCTTTGGGCCCATGATGGCTTATTTAGCAGTTACAAGCACTAAAAACACTGGAACAATACAAAATATATCGCAGGTACATGTGGAATCGATCGAAACGGCTTGTAAACACTGGAACACTGGCTGTACATGATGTCTTGGAGTGGCTGGGCCTGTTCAGGCCGTGCTCAGGCCGCATGAACACATTCAGGATGAAAGCCTTTAGATGAGTTTGTCGCCATTGGTAGAGCCAATTTTTTGATGCCGAAGAGTGCCGTTAGTCGATTTTGGCATTAGTCAATGCCACCGTTGGTTGAGGGTCCATTGTATCTCATAGCATGCAATTACAGAAGACGCTGATTTCAGGACCATAACTGGCACGTTAAATGAGGTGTGATTGTTCCTTAATAGTTTAAGTAGAGTACACATCAAGATTCTGCTGGTACAATATTAATATTCAGTAGTAATTTTAAAGAAATTTATGTAATACACTAGCACATAAGCCGTTTTCCACAAAAGAGGAGTGACTAAAGAAAATACATTCACTATTACTCATTCCAAAATGGTCTAAAAGTGCAAGGACATCACAATTCAAATAATTCACCAAAATGCAAAAACCCCACCTACTCTTCAGAGTGCATTCCCTTCACATCCCACCTTCAGAACTAAAATACAACAAATTACAAATAGTATGTTCTTATTGCCAACTTAATCATTTATCTTCTTGATTATTTAAATATACAGAGAACCCATGAGAGAGGTTGAAATACTCAGATATAAAAAAATAAGATTTCTACCTCAAAATGTAGTGTCCAAGGTACATGCTCAGGAGAACCTAGTTTTTCAGTCACCTCCACTGGCTCCAGTAATGGCTCCCACACTGCTAAACGGGGATTGTAATAAGCAAGTTCTGTGCTTACTTCTCCAGTTAGGTCACCTAAAAATAAGAATATGCTTTGATGACAGTGATTTAAAACTTGACAATCTTGAATTTTTATGCATATTAAATGTACAGCAAGTTAAACTTGATTAAAAGTGATGAGAGATATAAGGCACCCAAGATCAAAGATAAAAGCTAACATTACTTCTTTATATCAGTTACTACATATTACAGGCCTCAATTTTTTGTTTTTGTTTTATTAACACATCGGCCATTTCCCATCAAGGTAGGGTGGCCAGAAAAAGAAAAACTTTAACCAATATTCACTGCATCACTCTTGCCAGAGGCATGCTTACACTCCTTCAGAGTGCAGGCACTGTACTTCCCATCACCATGACTCAAGTCTGGCCTGCCAGTTTCCCTGAATCCGTTCATATTACCCTGCTCACATTCCAACAGCACATCAAGTCCTGAAAACCATTTGTCCCCATTCACTCCTACTTAACACACTCACACATGCATGCTGGAAATCCAAGCCCATCCCACACAAAACCTCCTTTACCCCCTCCCTCCAACCTTACCTAAGCTGATCTCTAACCCGCCCTCCCTCCACTACAGATTTATACACTCTCGAAGTCGTTCTGTTTTGCTCTGTCCTCTCTACATGTCCAAACCACCTCAACAACCCCTCTGCAGCCCTCCGGATAACAGTTTTGGTAATCCCACACCTCCTCCTTATTTCCAAACTATGAATTCCCTGCACTGAATTAACACAACACACTGCCCTCTGACATGACTTCTCCAATGCCTCCAGCCTTCTCCTTGTTGCAACATTCACCACCCATCCTTCACACCCATATAAGAGCTTTGATATAACTACACTCTCATACATTCCCCTCTTTGCTTCCATGGACAAAGTTCTTTGTTTCCACAGACTCCTCAAAGCACCACTCACCTTTTTTCCCTCAACCAATTCTATGATTCACCTCATCTTTCATAGACCCATCTGCTGACACGTCCACTCCTAAATATCTGAATATATTCACCTCCATTCTCTCTCCTTCCAATCTGTAATCCAATCTTTCATTACCTAATTTTATCCTCATCACCTTACTCTTTCCTATATTCACTTTTAATTTTCTTCTTTTACATACCCTACCAAACTCATCCACCAACCTCTGCAACTTCTCTTCAGAATCTCCCAAAAACAGTGTCATCAGCAAGGAGCAACTGTGACAATTCCCACTTTGTGTTATATTCTTTATCTTTTAACCCCGCACCTCTTGCCAACACCTGGGCATTTACTTGTCTTACAACCCCATCTATAAATATATTAAACAAACATGGTCACATTCTTGTCTAAGGCCTACTTTTACTGGGAAATAATCTCCCTCTCTCCTACATACTCTAACCTGAGCCTCACTATCCTTGTAAAAAGTCTTGACTGCTTTCAATAACCTACTTCCTATTCCATACATCTGCAACATCTGCCACACTGCCCCAATATCCACCCTGTCATATGCCTTTTTCAAATCCACACCTGCCATAAAAACCTCTTTACCCTTATCTAAACAGTGTTCACCTATATGTTTCACTGTAAACACTTGCTGTACACACTCCCTACCCTTCCTAAAGCCTCCTTGTTCATCTTCTATCTTACTCTCCATCTTACTCTTAAATCTTTCAATAATAACTACCATATACTTTGCAAGGTATACTCAACAGATTTCTTCTCTATAATTTTTGTGCTCTCTGTTGTCCTCTTTGCTTTTATACAAAGCCAATCCCTAGGTACCTTACCCTCTTCCACTTTTTTTTTTTCAACAAGTCGGCCGTCTCCCACCGAGGCAGGGTGACCCAAAAAGAAAGAAAATCCCCAAAAAGAAAATACTTTCATCATCGTTCAACACTTTCACCTCACACATAATCACTGTTTTTGCAGAGGTGCTCAGAACACAACAGTTTAGAAGCATATACCTATAAAGATACACAACATATCCTTCCAAACTGCTAATATCCCAAAACCCCTCCTTTAGAGTGCAGGCATTGTACTTCCCATTTCCAGGACTCAAGTCCGGCTATATAAAAATAACCGGTTTCCCTGAATCCCTTCACTAAATATTACCCTGCTCACACTCCAACAGATCGTCAGGTCCCAAATACCATTTGTCTCCATTCACTCCTATCGAACACGCTCATGCACGCCTGCTGGAAGTCCAAACCCCTCACCCAAAACACCTCCCTTACCCCTTCCTTTCAACCTTTACGAGGATGACCCCTACCCCGCCTTCCTTCTCCTACAGATTTAATGCTCTCCATGTCATTCTACTTTGATCCATTCTCTCTAAATGACCAAACCACCTCGACAACCCCTCTTCAGCCCTCTGACTAATATTTTGTTAACTCCACACCTCCTAATTTCCACACTCCGAATTTTCTGCATAATATTTATACCACACATTGCCCTTAGACAGGACATCTCCACTGCCTCCAACCGCCTCCTCGCTGCTGCATTCACAGCCCAAGGTTCACACCCATATAAGAGTGTTGGTACTACTATACTTTCATACATTCCCTTCTTTGCCTCCAAAGATAACGTTTTTTGACTCCACATATACCTCAACGCAACACTCACCTTTTTTCCTTCATCAATTCTATGATTAACCTCATCCTTCATAAATCCATCCGGCGACACGTCAACTCCCAAGTATCTGAAAACATTCACTTCTTCCATACTCCTCCTCCCTAATTTGATATCCAATTTTTCTTTATCTAAATCATTTGATACTCTCATCACCTTACTCTTTTCTATGTTCACTTTCAACTTTCTACCTTTACACACACTCCCAAACTCGTCCACTAACCTTTGCAATTTTCCTTTAGAATCTCCCATAAGCACAGTATTATCAGCAAAAAGTAACTGCATCAATTCCCATTTTGTATTCGATTCCCCATAATTTAATCCCACCCCTCTCCCGAACACCCTAGCATTTACTTCTTTAACAACCTCATCTATAAATATAATAAACAACCATATTGACATTACACATCCCTGTCTAAGACCTACTTTTACCGGGAAGTAGTCTCCCTCTCTTCTACACACCCTAACCTGAGCCTCACTATCCTCATAAAAACTCTTTACAGCATTTAGCAACTTACCACCTATTCCATATACTTGCAACATCTGCCACATTGCTCCCCTATCCACTCTATCACATGCCTTTTCTAAATCCATAAATGCAATAAAATCTTCCCTACCTTTATCTAAATACTGTTCACATATATACTTCAATGTAAACACTTGATCTACACATCCCCTACCCACTCTGAAACCTCCTTGCTCATCCACAATCCTACATTCTGTCTTACCTATAATTCTTTCAATAATATCCCAACCGTACGCTTTTCCTGGTATACTCAATAAACTTATTCCTCTATAATTTTTACAATCTCTTTTGTCCCTCTTCCCTTTATATAAAAGGACTATACATGCTCTCCGCCAATCCCTAGGTACCTTCCCCTTTTTCGTACATTTATTAAACAAAAGTACCAACTACTCCAACACTATATCCCCCCCTGCTTTTAAGATTTCTGTCATGATCCCATCAGTTGCAGCTGCTTTATCCCCTTTCATTCTACGTAATGCCTCACGTACTTCCCCCACACTTACATTCTGCTCTTCTTCACTCCTAAAAGATGGTACACCTCCCTGGCCAGTGCATGAAATTACCGCCTCCCTTTCTTCCTCAACATTTAAAAGTTCCTCAAAATATTCTTGCCATCTACCTAGTACCTCCCCTCCCCATCTACTACTCCCCTACTCTGTTTTTAACTGACAAATCCATATGTTCCCTAGGCTTTCTTAACTTGTTTAGCTCACTCCAAAATTTTTTCTTATTTTCATTAAAATTTCTTGACAGTGCCTTTCCCACTCTATCATCTGCTCTCCTTTTGCACAATCTCACCATTCTCTTCACCTTTCTTTTACTCTCCATATACTCTGCTCTTCTTATAACACTTCTGCTTTCTAAAAACCTCTCATAAGCTAACTTTTTCTCTTTTATCACACCCTTTACTTCATCATTCCACCAATCACTCCTCTTTCCTCCTGCCTCCACCCCCCTATAACCACAAACTTCTGCCCCACATTCTAATACTGCATTTTTAAAACTCATCCAACCCTCTTCAACCCCCTCCACTACCCATCTTTGTACTAGCCCACCTTTCTGCCAATAGTCGCTTATATCTCACCCAAACTTCCTCCTCCATTAGTTTATACACTTTCACTTCCCTCCTACTTGTTGTTGCTATCTTCCTCTTGTCCCATCTACCTCTTACTCTAACTGTAGCTACAACTAAATAATGATCCGATATATCAGTTGCCCCTCTATAAACATGTACATCCTGGAGCCTACCCATTAACCTTTTATCCACCAATACATAATCTAACAAACTACTTTCATTACATGCTACATCATACCTTGTATATTTATTTATCCTCTTTTTCATAAAATAAGTATTACTTATTACCAAATCTCTTTCTACACATAGCTCAATTAAAGGCTCCCCATTTACATTTATCCCGAGCACCCCAAATTTACCTACTACTCCCTCCACAACATTTTTACCCACTTTAGCATTGAAATCCCAAACCACAAGTACTCTCACACTTGGTTCAAAACTCTCCATGCATTCACTCAACATTTCCCAAAATCTCTCTCTCTCTACACTTCTCTCTTCTCCAGGTGCATATACACTTACTATAACCCACTTTTCACATCCAACCTTTATTTTACTCCACATAATCCTTGAATTAATACATTTATAGTCCCTCTTTTCCTGCCATAGCTTATCCTTCAACATTATTGCTACTCCTTCTTTAGCTCTAACTCTATTTGAAACCCCTGACCTAATCCCATTTATTCCTCTCCACTCAAAACTCTCCCACCCCCTTCAGCTTTGTTTCACTTAAAGCCAAGACATCCAGCTTCTTCTCATTCATAACATCCACAATCATCTCTTTCTTATCATTTGCACAACATCCATGCACACTCAGACTTCCCACTTTGACAATTTTCTTGTTATTCTTTTTAGTAATCTTTACAGGAAAAGGGGTTACTAGCCCACTGTTCCCGGCATTTTAGTTGACTTTTACAACACGCATGGCTTACGGAGGAAAGATTCTTATTCCACTTCCCCATGGATATAAAAGGAAAAGTAATAAGACCAAGAACTATTAAGATAAAATCAAAGAAAACTCAGATGAGTGTGTATAAATAAACGTGTACATGTATGTGTAGTGTGACCTAAGTGTAAGTAGAAGTAGCAAGACATACCTGTAATCTTGCATATTTATTAAATAAAAGTGCCAACCCCTCCAAAACTATATCCTCACCTGCTTTTAACAATTCTATCTTTATCCCATCAATCCCAGCTGCCTTACCCCCTTTCATTTTACCCAGTGCCTCACGAATTTCCCCCACGCTCACACCTCTCTATTCCTCTATCCTACAAGATGTTATTCCTCCTTGTCCTATATATGAAATCACAGCTTCCCTATCTTCATCAACATTTAACAATTCCTTAAAATATTCCCTCCATCTTCCCAATACTTCTAACTCTCCATTAATAACTCTACTCTCCTATTTTTTAACTATCAAATCCATTTGTTCCCAAGGCCTCCTCAACATATTAGGATCACACCAAAACTTTTTCTTATTTTCAAAAAAATCTGTTATTAATATCTCACCCACTCTCTCATTTCCTAGCTTTTTACACTGCTTCACCACTCTTAACCTCACTTTTTTTTTCCATATACTCCTACCTCCTTGCATCACTTCTACTTTGTAAAGACCTCTCATATGCTAATATTTTCTCTCTTACTACTCTCTCTACATCATTCCACCAATCGCTTTTCTTCCCTCCCGTACCCACTTTCCTGTAACCACAAACTTCTGCTTAACACTAACACTACAGTTTTAAACCTACCCCATACATCTTCAACCTCATTGCCTATACTCTCACTAGCCCATCTATTCTCCAATAGTTGTTTATATCTTACCCTAACTGCATCCTCCTCTAGCTTATTTATTTATTTTATGTCTTTGCAAACAGTACATTGAGATTTTTATATTTACAATAGTGGGTTGCAAAGCAAGAGAGCCTCTGTTATACCTAGGCATTATGGGCCAACTAAACATTATTGGCTTACAGACTACTTAACACTAAGGATTTTATCATAGTTGTACAGTAGGACAGTAATTATTTCATAGTTGAACAGTAGATTATTAATTATAAGTGAATTAAATTTATATAAGACAAAGGATATATTCATATAGTCTAAAATGCTTTTTGTGGAAAACAATGGTTCAATTATATTCCTGTCAACAATGGATAAAAGGTTCAAAGTGATTGTTGAAGTTATTATGTGGGAGTACATAGGTGAGTGAGTGTGTACTGAGTATTTAGCGTTTAGTCTAGGGCGATCAAGTGGCTTTTGAGAAGAGTCTTAAACTGATTTTCAGACTGGGTTACTTTAATATCTTCTGGTAATGAATTCCATATTTTAGGGCCCTTTATGTGCATAGAGTTTTTACACAGTGTGATAAGGACACGAGGTATATCAAAAAGAGATCCGTCTTGTGTTGTGGTCGTGTGTCCTGTTTAAGTTGGTGAGGAGAAGTTTGAGTGAAGGGTTTATATTTGCGTGTATTGTTCTGTGTATGTAGTAGGCACATGAATAAGTATGGATGTTCTTAATGGTGAGCAGATTCAGACTTTTGAAAATCAGTGGAGTGTGCTGGCGGGAGTGGGAATTCGTTATCCTTCTTACTGCTGCCTTTTGCTGGGTTATGAGGGGTTTTAGGTGATTGGATGTTGTTGATCCCCATGCACAAATTCCATATGTAATATAAGGGTGTATGAGTGTATAGTACAGTGCCAGGAGAGCTGATTGTGAAACGTAGTACCTTATCTTTGATAGTTTGCCTACAGTCTTGGAGATTTTCTTGGTGATTTGTTTTGTGTGTGTCCAGAACTTAAGGCTACTGTCAAGGTGGATACCTAGGAATTTTCCCTCCGAGTCTTGTGAATGATGATTCATTTAGCGTTATGTTAATGGGATCATTTGCAGCTTTGTTTCCAAAGTGAATGAAGTACGTTTTATCAATATTCAGGGTAAGTTTATTAGTCATCATCCAGGCAGATATTTTCTGCAATTCAGCACTGACTGTTTGCTAGTATGACCGTGTATGGGTGGGAAAAGACATATGTAGTGTCATCTGCAAATAATATGGGTTTGAGTAGCTGTGATGCATTCAGTAGATCATTGATGTAGATGAGAAAGAGGAGTGGTCCAAGGAAGCTTCCTTGTGGAACTCCTACTATGATTGGTTGGGTGGAAGAGTTTGCATCATCTGCATACACATATTGAGTTCTGTTACTAAGGTATGATTTTAAGTAGTTGAGTGGCCTCTGATACCATAGTGCGTTAACTTGGTGTACAGTAGTTCATGGTCGACTGTATCGAAAGCTTTACTTAAATCAATGAAAATGCCCAGCGGGACTTATTTCTTTTCGAGTGCGGTATAGATTAGTTCAAGCACGCGTATGATAGCATCATTCGTGCTTTTATTATTCCTGAATCCAATCTGACAAGGGTTTAATATGTTGTGTAAGACGAGGTAGGAATAGATCCGTCTATGCATTAATTTTTCAAAGATTTTAGAGAGCAGTGGTAAGTTGGATATTGGTCTATAGTTATTCAAGTCAGCTTGGACACCTCCTTTGTGGATCGGAGTGACCCTCACTATTTTGAGGATTGTTGGGAAGGTAGCCGATTCAATGGATTTGTTAAAGAGCGTTGCAATAATTGGTGACAATACTTGAGAAGCTTTTTTGTACATGAAAGCAGGCAAGCTGTTTATGTCTCCTGCCTTGTTTTTAAGGGTGTTTATGATGAGTGTAACTTCTGTGGGGTTAATTGGAGCTAGGAATAGCGTATTTGGGTAGGTACCTATGAGGTAGTCTGATGGAAGGGTGTATACACTTGGTATTTTGTTCACTAGATTTTTACCTATGGTGGAGAAGAAAACATTGAGTCTGTTCGCTGTTTCAGTTGGTGTGAGTTGGGGTTCATCTGATTTTGTTAGTTTGATTGTTTTGTTTTTTGATAACTTTTTATTTCCAAGAATTTCAGATAGAGTTTTCCAGGTTTTTTCCATATCACCTTTGATGTTAAGTAGTCTATTTTCATAATACAATTTTTTAGATCTTCTTATCAGGCTGGTAAGTGCTGGCGAGTAACGTTTAGACTATTCTCTAGTTATTTGACCCATTCTATACTGTTTTTCATATTTGTGCTTTGTGTTAATGGATTTGAGGATGCTTGGTGTTAGCCAGGGACTATTCAGTCTCTTTGCAGTGATCTGTTTAGTTTTTTGGGGGCAATGTTTGTTATAGAGGCTTTTTGCTTTTTTTTTAGAAAATTATTTATACATTCATTCATGTCTGTATATGTTTCGAGCTCATTTTGCCAATCGACATTATTCATAGCTATAAAGTTGTTAACAGCTGTCTCATTATGTAGTCTGAAGGTTACTTTAGTGATGTCTTGTGGCAGTTTGCCCAGATCAGTTATGAGAAAGGTTGGGTAGTGGTCTGTTGTGTTGTCTGTGATTATGCCTGATTTTAAAGGGGATATGGTGTTTGTAAAGATGTGGTCTATTAAGGAGATGCTTGTCTCGGTGATTCTTGTATGTTTAGATATTGTTGGTAGCAACAGGCAGTTACTCATTGTGTTTGTGAATTCGGTTACTTGTGGGTCCTGATCGTGTAATATGTTTATGTTGAAATCTCCACCTCTCTTTTACCTGCTACTTTCATTTTCCTTGTATCTCATTTACCTTTTACTCTCAGTGTAGCTACAACTAAAAAGTAATCTGATATATCTGTGGCCCCTTTATAAACATGTACATCCTGAAGTCTACCAAACAGTCTTTAACCCGTAAACAGTCCAAGCAGATCTACATTCACATGTGTAGTGCTCCAAAAGTAGATCTATGTTTTTTTAACATTTTCAAATATGACAAAAAAAAAAGTAGATCAAAGTTTTTTTTACACATTTTCAAATGTAAAAAAAAAAAAAAATTACTTTTTTTACATACTTTCAAATGTTGAAAAAATGTATACATACGTTTGGACCGTTTACGGGTTAATCTACCAATACTTAGTCCAACGAACTACTGTCACTATGCCCTACATCATATCTTGTATACTTTTTTATCCTCTTTTCCTTTAAATATGTATTACCTATAACCAAACCCCTTTCTATACAAAGTTCAATCAAAGGGCCCTCATCATTTACACCTGGTACCCCAAACTTACCCACCACACCTTTAAATGTTTCTCCTACTTTAACATTTAGGTCCCCTACCACAATTACTCTCATTTGGTTCAAAAGTTCCTATACACTCGCTTATCTCCCAAAATCTCTCTCTCTCTCCTCTACACTCTTCTCTTCTCCAGGTGCATACACACTTATTGACCCACTTTTTGCATCTGACCCTTATTTTAATTCATATAATCCTTGAATTTTATTCTTATTTATACTATTTCAACACACTCACTTTCTGAGAGCGGAAGCCTGTGGCACTTGCAGACACACTGGTCTGAAGTTTGATGAGTGGAATAGGTGATGTGACAGAGCCTGTCTCTAGTGTAATCAGTAAGCACTCCATTGTAATTATGGCCATCTCCCCACCAGGACCAGAATGTACTGCTGCTACTAATTCACTTGTCTCTTCTGAAATGGCTTCTTCTGCCTCCTCTGAAATGTTTTAAAAAATAACGTAGTTTTTCTTGCGCAAAATTCAACAATGACAAGTAAATATAGAGAATATTCTTACCATTCTTTCAAATCTCTTATTAGAGCATGTAAAAAAAAAAGTAAATACTATTACTCAACTAGTTACATCTAATCACTACTGCATCTGAATTCTACTTTCACTAATCTAAGGAACTATGTTTGATCTCACATATCTCAAACATTTCTTCATGACTTTGTATTGCCAATAACCTCAATGCTACATATCAAAAACTTTCAACTCTCATCTGCCAATAATATCTTTACCTTTGACATATCTTTGAAGAGTTGAGAGCTCCACTACTCTCGGAGTCCAGCCATGGGCCAGGCTCGTCTGGTGCTTGCCTGGTCAACCAGGCTGTTGATGGAGACCTGCTGCCACACACATCCATCACAGCCTGGTTGATCTGGCACCTGGTGAAGATACTTGTCCAGTTTCCTCTTGAAGGCTTCTACCCTTGTTCCAACCGTGTTTTTGATATCTTCTGGTAAGATGTTGAATAGTCTGGGACCCCAAATGTTGATACAGTTTTCCCTTATTGTCCCCACCACACCCCTGATCCTTACTGGGTTTATTTTGCACTTCCTCCCACATCTCTCACTCCAATACAATGGACCTTCGGTTATCATAATTAATCCGTTCCAGAGAGTGTGACTAAAGCCCAATTTGATGGTTTCCAAATTCATTTTCCCCATAAGAAATAATGTAAATCCAATTAATCAGTTCCAGATACCCAAAAGTATTAAAAAAATAATTTTTTTACATGAAATATACATTTACCTACACAGAAAACAATGAGACACGAAGAATAAAAACATGACACTTACCTTTATTGAAGACTCTTCTTTGTGTATTGAAGAGGGAAGAGGATGGAGAAATTACTGTTTGAAAGGGGAATCCCCTTCCATAAAGACTTCAGGTAACAAGTCTTTTTCCGAGGTTACTTTCCTTCTTTGTTTTTTAACCCTTTGACTGTTGCAACCCCAAATACTGAGGTGTCTCCTGGTGTTGCAAAATATTTGAAAAAAAAAAAAAAATCTTATGAAATGATAGAGAATCTTTTCCCAATGGTAATGACACCAAAAATATGAAATTTGATGAAAAACTTATGGAATTACGCTCTCACGAATTTAGTGACCTAGGCGATATTTACGAATTGGCGATTTTGCCCACTTTGAGCCCTATTTTTGGCTAATTCCATTGTTCCAGTCGACCAAATTCATAACTATTGTTTTAGGACTCCTTATGTTCTATCGATTGAGTACAAGAAACTGCGCATTTACTAATTTCAACTGCCCAATAACGTGGTCAGAAATTGGCAATTTGGCCAATTTCACACAAATTAAAAAAATATGCCAATTTCAAAATAGTCCAATGCAGACATTCCTGGCTCTAAAATAACATTTTCTTTGTTCATCAGTCACATTTCCAGGCCCCTCTGATATTACTCTTGCTTTCTATTTTGAATTTTTATTCAAACAAAAAACCAGAAGATTTACTGTTATGCAGACTACTGAAATATTGTAATAATTTTATAAATAATGCCACCCCATTCATGACTGCATATTGAAATGGCTAGTTGGACACTTATTGGACAATGACATCATTTGTTTACTCTTTAACACTGGCAAAAATCAAACATTTCAAGGTCCTTTTCATAGTAAAACCAATCAAAATCACCTCTATTTCTATAATACGTTTTCCAGTGCATCAAATGGAACTATGAAAATGAGAATATAACCATAAAAAATATACAAAAATACACCTCAAAGTCGGCGTTTTAATCCAAAAACACGGTCGGAGTTTTTTTCTCTCATTAAGCACTGCGTGCTGCAGGATTTTTTTTATACAGTGCACACTGATCACACAGACCCATTCTCTCACATGTGGGCCTACCAGCTTTCTCCTGCTTGATTTGAAGCCACTAGAATTTTTGAGTATATATACGTCAAACACATTGGCTTGTAGGATGTACATATACATATGACCAAAAGTCAAAGGGTTAATGCCACTAGGACCAGCCTGAGAGTCACTGGATCCCTATCTCTCATTATTATTATTATAATCAAAAAGAAGCACTAAGCCACAAGGGCTATACAGCGCTGCAGGGTAGGGAAAGAAGCGAGGGTATTGGGCGGTAGAAGGGGGAAGGGTGATCAGTAGGTTACAGAAAACAGCGGGGCAGGGGATAGTGCGGGGGTAGAGGGTAGCAAGAGATTGAGGTATAAAGGGCTGAAGGTATCAGAGTTTGTGAAGTAAGTCAGTTGTTGTCAAAAAGTCAATGAGAGAGTCCGGAAGAAAGGTGGGTCCATCAGCGAGAAGGGAAGGTAAAGAGAGAGCAGCGGAGCGAACACGACGATGGAGGTAAATTCTGCGTGCTCGTTGATAAAGTGGGCAGTCTAACAGAATGTGGCTGACTGATAATGGAACCTGACAATTCTCACAGAGAGGAGCAGGGCGCCTCTCCATGAGATATACATAAGTAAGACGAGTATGGCCAATGTGAAGACGAGAGAGAGTAGTCTCCCAACCTCGACACTGGTGACAAGAAGACGGCCAGTAACCTATACTCGGTTTAATAGACTGAAGTTTGTTACCGAGCAGACTAGACAAACGATGTTGCCAACAGGTGTGAAGGTGGGTAGCTATTGCAGCAAAATAGTCCGTAAATGGAATACCTCTACATGAAACTGGTAGGTCATGTACTGCTGACCGAACAGCAGTGTCTGCCTGTTCATTGCCCTGTACGTCAACATGACTAGCGACCCAACAAAAAACATTATCTTCATGCTTGGTAAAGATGCAGCGTAGCAAAGTTGGATACCGAGGACTAAGGGGTGAGGTGTATCAAATTTCTGTATAGCCTGTAAAGCACTAAGAGAGTCTGAGACAACCACAAATGATGACAGGCATAGATGCAATACGCATAAGTGCTGCAAGAATGGCATACAATTCAGCAGTAAAAATACTAGCCAAAGATAGCAAATGCCCTCGTACGACGCTGCCCGGAAACACTGCTGCGAATCCTATGCCGTCAGAGGACTTAGAGCCATCTGTGTACACTGCAATGGCATGAGAATGAGAGTGGAAGTGGTCAAGAAAAAGAGAGCGGGAAGCGACCATAGACAGTTGGGCTTTCGAGCAAGGGAGAGAGAAAGAACAGACTCGAACAGCTGGAACTTCCCAGGGGGGTAGGGAAAAGCGAGATGCTACATGAACATAGAAAGGTGGTAATTGAAGAGAAGACAAGAGCGAATGTAGGCGGAGAGAGAAGGGACGGAGCAAACAGGGGCGGCAAACAAATAATGTCTACTAATATCTGTGACCATTCTATAAATGGAAGGATTGCGGAGATCATGAGAATGTACATAGCAGCGAAGGCAATGGGCATCACGGCGATCAGATAAGGATGGAATGTTCGCTTCTGCATAGAGGCTCTCAACAGCGGAAGAGCGAAAAGCACCAAGGCATAAACGTAATCCTTGGTGATGAATGGGGTTAAGGCTAGAGAGAGTAGCAGGAGAGGCTGCTGAATAGATCTGGTCACCATAATCAAGTTTCGATAAAATGAGGGTGGAATGTAGGTGAAGGAGAGTTCAACAATCAGCTCCCCATGAAAGATGAGCAAGGGTTTTAAGAAGGTTCAGCCGGCTGTGACAAGTTGCCTTCAGAGAGGTAATGTGAGGTTTCCAGGATAACCTACGGTCAAAGAGGAGGTCCAGAAACCTGACTGTATCACGTTCAGGGATACGGGAGCCAATGAGGTACAAAGGATGATTGGAGATGACAGAGCGTCTAGTGAAAGTAATTTGGCGAGTTTTGGTACTGGAAAATTTAAACCCATGTGTGATGGCCCAATTGGAAACATGGTCAACCGCATGCTGGAGAGAAACTGTAATTAGGCGACAGTCAGCGCCTGCACAGGCAATAGCGAACTCATCAACATAGAGTGATGACCAAATATTTGATGGAAGACTAGAGGCCAAATCATTTATAGCTAGGAGAAAAAGTGCTGTGCTCAGAACACATCCCTGGGGGACACCTTCAGCTTGGATAAAGTCCGGGGAGAGCCCATTATTAACCCGAACACGGAAATGCCTGTCAGTTAAAAAGTTCTTAAGGAAGGATGGTAGATTGCCTCGGAGGCATAAGGAGTGGGCTTGAGCTAAATTATACCTCCAAGATGTGTCATATGCCTTCTCAAGGTAAAAAAATATGGCAATAACTGAGTGGTTATTCGCAAAGGCATTACGAACATACGTATCCAAGCGTAGTAAGGGGTCTATGGTAGAACGTCCCTTATGAAAGCCATATTGACGAGTGGAGAGACTGTTGTGTGTCTCTAAATACCACACTAAACATCTATTTACTAGGCATTCCATCACTTTGCAAACTGCACTGGAAAGAGCAATGGGACGATAGTGGGAGGCTTCATGTCCCGTAGTACCCGGTTTGCGGAAAGGGAGAATAATGGCAGATTTCCACAGCTGTGGAAGAACTCCTTGTGACCAAATAAGACTGAAAAGGCATAATAGGACTGCAAGGGCTGACTGATGTAAATATTGTAGCATACGAATATGAATGTCGTCGGGCGCAGCTGCCAATAATCGGCAAGCTGAGAGTGTTGCCTCCAGTTCTTGAAGTGTAAAACGCACATTATACTGTTCTTCTCTGAGAGAAGAAAAGTCCAAGGGTGCTAACTCTCTGGCAGACTTTGAGGAAAGAAACGAGGGGCATTGATGGAGCCCCTGAGAAATATGGACCAGATGATTGCCAATTTCATTGGCAACATCTAGTGGGTTTGCTATATCAACACCGGCAACCCGCAGAACAGGAGCCGGGTCAGGAGAATATTTACCACTCAGTTTTCGTACTTTTTTCCAGACTGCACTCATAGAGGAAGCAGAGGTGATGTTGGAGACAATCTTGCCAGCAAGTGCGCTTAGCATCACGGATGACACTG